ATATCCATACAGAGGTTAAAACCATCACGATGACCATAAGGCGTGAGCTCCAAGATCAATTCACTATCCCATACAGTGGTGAAAACCACATGAGGGAGTAGTTTCTCGCTCTTACTTAAATAGGACGGAGCGGGGTTTTAGCTCATGTTATGCAAATTCAATTGTGCAGTGTGTGAGGAAAAGAGAAAACAAAGCAAACAATGCAAAACATAATTCTCAAAGTTTTGAACATTTATTTAATTTGAAAACAATAGCAAACAAATCGGTACAACCATTTAGTGGTTAATCAAATTGCAAACAAAAATCTATTCAAACCACACAAGGGATTAAAAATCAAATTAGAATGACTTGTAATTTCCATTTGCAAAGACAATTAATTAATTGACTATCGGCCTGACTCTCTAAAAAAGTCCCCAGTGGAGTCGCCAAGCTGTAGAAATGATTTTTTCTTTAAAAAATTTAATTTTTAAAAAGTGATTTTTAAAATAAATCTCATCTCGAATGATTTGATGACCGGTTAATAATAAAACGTGGTTTGAAGAGTCGACATTAATCTTTGATTATGGTGTGATTGGGCGCTCAAAAAGTATTTGTTATTTTAATAAAAATATATTAATTAAAATAACAAATTTATGGTCTGAGTTACCAAAATTTGAGTTCTGGAGTCGATTACGTATAGGGAAGGATTAGCACCCCCCACAGTGCCCTAAATCAGTATGTAGTTGATTAATTAAATATCTTTGCAATGAAACTTAAGAATTTGAGTCTAATTTAATTTAAAATCCCATACAAGTAATATTCCGGGAATTTCAGGATGAAACACAATAATATTTAATGATTTCATATCGAGAAGAATCAACCTCTCATGCCTTAAAGCATTCGATTCTTACTCCAATCGAAATGAGGAAATATTATAATTACATCCTAATGTTCATTATTAATTCAAAATAACAACACAAGACAATTCTAAGATAGAAAATGATAATATCTAATGATTTTTAATCGAGAATAAACGACCTCTCGTGCCTTAAAGCAGTCAATTATTACTCCAATTGAAAGGAAGAGATATCACTATTTCATCTTATAAATCAATATTGATTCAAGACGAAACAGTAATATCCAACTATTTCCAATCAGGAATAAATGACATCTCATGCCTTAAAGCAGTCATTTATTACTCCAACTGAAACGAAGAAATATTACAATTTTCAATATCGATTCGAGTGTTACTATTTTTAAAATCCATTGGAAAACACATGCAAAGATAAAGGAAATTAAAAGCATATATCAAGCAAGTATAATCAATTATTTATTTTACCAATATTTATTGAGAATAAGCATGTTCAATTATTTAAATACCTCGAGACGAGACCTTAGATCCGATCTAATAGTCTTTTTTCGATGAATTTAATTAAAAGAACATTATCATTTTCCCAATTCTCGAATTTTAAAATGGATTCGATTTAATTCATGTCATTAAATGGGATATATTTTCATTTTAAAATTATCGAAAGTAACTTTCTTATACGGACAGTCATTTTACGACAATATTAAAATGAACGAATATTACCCTTTGTCAATTTATTTTGATTCGATTCAAGAGATGCTTATGAGGGTGTCATGCAAAATTAATCAAGGACTAAAATGAACTAAAATGCAAGCAACATGCAAAAATTAAAATAAAATGAAAATAGGACTAAAATACAAACAATCAAATTGTCATGTCAAAATTAAAATAAAATAAAGCATAAAAGTGACTAAAATGATCATTTTTAATATTGAGTGTTGAAATTACAAAGAATAAAAATAAATAAAATAGGGGGATTAAATTAAAATAAAGTAAATTTGCATGGCCAAATTAAAATAAATAAAAATATATATTTTGGTTTGAATATAAACATGCAGAAACTACAGGGACTATTTCCTAGTTATTCCTTTTTTAGCCTATTTCATACATTTGATTAAAAAGGGTAAATTACTAAATCAGTCCAAAATTATTTTAAAAAAATTAAATCAGCACTACATATGACCAAAATATAAAAAACGCTAAACATTAAGTGACTAAACAGTAAATAACCCTAAAAATATAACATGCATAAAATGGGTAAATAGCATATTCAGTCCTTACATGTGACTAACATGCAAAAAAAAGGCTAAACTAGGGGGACTAAATAGAAAATAACCCTAAATATAAAGCATGCACGAAAAAGGGCAAACAACAGGTTCGATCTTTACAGGTGACCATTTTGTAAAAACACGCACAACTTAGGACGACCTAAGTGCAATTTCCATTAAAGTTTCTATATATACAACCTTTTTCCTTTTTTAATTCTTTCATTTTTATTTTTTTTATTTTTAAAAAGTTGGCCCCTTCGTCGACCGTTTGGTTGCCCGCCGTCGCCGTCGCTGATAGTCGTTGGCCACCAAATTTTACCCAGAGATTCGCCTTGACCCCCTCGTCTCAAATATGGGGTCCGTTTTTTGTGAAGGAGGCTCTAGCGTCGTGAAAATGCCCGAGACACTTCGACTTTCCCAAGCTCCGATCGCCGACATCCGTTATTAGATCAGGCAGATCTCAAGTTCTGTTGGTCTCCTCGCCCGTGTACTCATCCTCACCGTTCAGATCTGGTGATGGAGACTCGAACATCGGTGAAGCCTCTGGCCGAATGTAACTTTACTATCTTTTCCTTTTTTTCTTTACTTTGTTGTTGCTTAAAAATGGTGTATTTCGAATAAGCAAAAAACCGAAAATAGATTGCTATGGAATGCTTTTTTTGTATTATTTTCAAAACAAATGAGAGACTTTTACATTCTGGTTTGTGGGTTTTATAACCCATATTTGTTATAGATTTTTTCTGTTCTTTCTGAAATGAAATGATGACAAAAGGAAATCATTGTGATGTTCCGTGTATGTGTTGTTTCTTGCTGACTTGTGCCCTGTTGTGGAAGGGGGCTTGGTACACGGTTGGTGGAAGCATCGGTGGTTAGGGATTAATACAGATGGTTGGCGGCAGATCCTTTATCAGGGTCGTTGGATCTCTCCCAGATCTAGCGGTTGAGATTTGTGTAGCGCCAGAGAATAGAGGAGAGCTTAGGGTGAAAACCCGTTAGTGGGCTCTAAGTTTGATTGGTTGAATCTGTTGTTGGGCTTCAAGTATCGAGTCGGATTGTAATTGGGGCAATTGGTAGATGGGCCCTAGTGTTGAGTTATAGAAGGGCCCAATTTATGTTTGTAAAGCCTGAATAATAATAATAATAATAATAATAATAATAATGGGACAAAAACGAGTGTCGACATTGGTCTCGAGACCAAGCCTTCCAACTATCAAATTTATAGCCGTTAAACCTCCGATATCGATACTGTTTGAATCAATATCAATACCCACCCATCGATCTCAAGACTGAGGCCTTGGTATTGATAACAAAAACCATTATGGAATTTTGGTATTAAGACTGCTTTACTGGTCTTGAGATTGGATGGTGTTTTGGCTAACATTCAAGTGTTTTAAGCTTTAAAATGATATTTATAAAATGTAAATATACTCAATAACACTTGTGATTATTTTTCACACTTAAAAATGTTTTAAAAACATTTATGAAAAATTATTTATAAAATCGTGAATTGCAAATTTTTAACAACTTAAAACATTTAAAAATAATGTTATATCAAAATCTAATGTTGGTTCAACAACTTCGTACAATGTCTTTAGTATGTTTGTGTTTACGAGACTCATAATGTTGCTATAAATTAGTGATTATATTGTTGGGCTTTATAAGCTTAGCGTTCGCATGTTTTCATTCGCATGTTATTAGTTTGAGTCATTCAAGGAGCATTATCATCAATAGGGCTTCGAACATCTCTTCTAGAGTATTGTATTGTAGCTTTACTGGGCATGTGTATTCATAGAACCTTATGTCTTTTGATTATCAAACTTGAGTTGTATTATTTGATTTAAACTATGTGTCACAGTGCTCCGATTTATAAAAATGTTTTATAACTGTCATGTATGTCTATTTTGGTACCATTCAGTATGCTTTTAAATGAAAATGAACTGCTTATAAATTTTAGTGGTTACCTCAGTAACCCAATGTGAAACTTTAGGTCTAATCGGATTTAGAGTGTTACTATTTCAGCCAGAAAAATACATGATAGTAGATCTTGTTAGTTCATTGGGCTAAGGTTATCACGCTTACCAAACCTCTGGGCTAAGTAGGGTTATTGGACTCAATTACTAGCGGACCAAGTAGGCATATTAGATGGTTGGTGGTTTGGGTTGCGACTGGTATCATTTCGTACGAATTAGGCTTCTATCTTTTAGGTTGAAACTTCAAGGCTTCCAGAAAGGCAGGCTACGTCAATGACGATCTAGCACTCATTGGCAGTGGCACGTCCAATAATCGATCAAGCGTCTAAATAGGATGTTAGAGTATTACAACCAATATATCCTAAACCTTAAACTATTAAAGATAATTACTATAACCATCATATATTTACATATTAAAAGTTTGATAAATTATTTAACATATTTATGTATTTATGATATTTTTAAGTTAATATTTCAAAAAAAAAACCTAGCAAACAACGAAAGCTTGAAAATGACATCAGAATTTAAGCTGCGCTGCAAACAGTGGCGTGGTACAGTCAATCGAGCGCGATCATTTGATATTTTATATGCGCAATTAATAATGTGAAAAAAAAATTAATATAGGTATTATTATAATGAATATAAAGGAGAAAACGAAATGCAACGGACACTGCTACGTTGTTACGGGTTCAAAGGTTAACGAAAATCAAATGAAACAAACATCTGTTTGGTGGTATGAAGGAAATATGAATTTCTTCAAATTTAAGTGACTATAAATCTTAATAATTTGTTAATATTACTTGAACTTTTCCCTCCTCAAGCCTGAGATAAGATTGCCTTTACGTTTGTTGTAAAACATTATTAAGAATGCTACACACAAAAAAAGAATTAAGAACATGAAATGAAACATGAAAATATCCAAACTGAAACCATACGACATTCCTCAAACAACTCGAAACGGTACAATTGTCTGAAAATTCAACCAAATTTTCTGAAACAGAAATGTACTTGATACTCTTCAACATAATTATAATGCCCCAACAAAACAAAGTAATATCCTTGACCCTAAGCCTTATCAGCCTTGGCAGCAGTAGCAGCAGCTTGACCTCTGAGCCTACCGGTCCTCCTTGCAGCAATAAGACCAACCTTTTGTCCAGGAGGAGCATCGCGTCTAACAGTACTAGCATGACCGATGTGTTGATGGTTACCACCACCATGTGGATGCTCGACTGGGTTCATAGCCACACCGCGCACCTTAGGCCAGCAGTTCCTCTTCACCCTGTATTTGTGGTAAGCATTACCCGCTTTGAGAAGAGGCTTCTCAGTCCTACCACCTCCAGCGACCTGCCCAATCATGGCACGGCAACCACTTGGAACAATTTTCTTCGCACCCGATGGGAGCTTGATTCTGTAAGATCAAGCATCAAAACAACCCATTACACCAAACTTCCACCCTACATGCCATGTTCTTATGCAATTAATCACTCTTTGAATACTGGTTTCGAAAGTCGGATGCCAGTTCCACCCAAAGGTTAATCAATTGAAGCATGTAGAAATGAATTTGAATATGAATTTCACATAGACCAAGAAGTTCGGGCCTGAAACAGAAAAACATAACCTGCCTAATACAAACCCAAATCCGAACCCAACTTGACTTGAACATTAAAGCCCGTAACCCTAAACAAAATTGATTCAAACACAAACCGACTCCAAACAAATTCACTTAATCCAAAACTCGGTGCTCCAAACCGGAAATGACCCAACCTTGAAAGTAACTAAACTAAATCAAATGACCCAAGAATTTCAAAACTCAAATTAACCCAATCCGCATTGACTGGATCCAAAAACATCCCAACCCTCCCCCATCAAATAGGTCTAATATCACAAGAGAAGGATATTGGTAATCAATTAAACCAAAAGGCTATGAAATTTAACATGAAAAATCCAGAAACGTATATAAGCTAAACCAACACAATTCGTCAATCTAAAACCAACATATGTGCTTCAGGGATGATATTTTTTATTTTACATTCCATCGATTAATAATCGAAGAACATTGGCTCCTTTTAAAGATTTACCAATTCTATGGAGTTCTTTCTCATAAACTAGACATGTATTTAAAGAAACGAAATTAAAAAGAAAAAACAAAGAGTAGAGGTTAGATACCTGGTGGTGTCGTTATCAGGGTTGTGACTAATAACAATAGCATAATCACCAGAAGCCCTAGCAAAAGCCCCACGATCGCCAACGTGATGTTCGACGTTGCAAACCACAGCTCCTTCAGGGATGGATCTAAGAGGCAACACGTTTCCGACCACAAGGGTAGCCTTCTTACCGCAGTACACGAACTGTCCGGTGTACATACCCTCGGCAGCGACGAACAGTTCCTTCTGCTTCTTGTAACGGAAAGGATGACGGAACACCACGCGAGCCAAAGGCGCACCACGGCCTGGGTCGTGGATAACTTCGGTGACGACACCTTTGAGGTAGCCATTTCGCTCGCCGAAGTCGAGGCTGCGGAATCGGGCGGGACCCTTCCGGTGGTGGGTGTGGGCCTTGAAGACGGAACCCGGACCCTTACGTTGAGCTCGGATGACTCGACCCATTTCGGTGAAAGGTCTGAATGGGTATGAGAACTCTCCCTCGGAAGCGGCAGAGAGTAGTGAAATGAGATTAGGGTTTGGAAGAAAATCTGATAAATATATTATTCTGAGTTCTGACTAGGGTTTTTTGGATTTGGATTTGGATTTGGATTTGGATTTGGGCTGAGAAAGACGAAAACAAGGTTTTTTTTCAATACCATAAGCAAGTCAATTATTTAAGGTATTGGACCTCTAGCTTTTATTTTGAAAAATACAACAATTATTATAATGCACGTAGAATCTCGGATATTATTTTTAAATGGACCTTGAGTAGTGGGTTCCATGTGAATCATTATTTTATTTTCTTTAATATGATTCGTCACACCGAGATGACGAGTTTGTTTAAAAAATTAATTTAAAAAATATATAAAATAAAAATAAAATTCAAAAAATTTGATGGTGACGACTTGAGGTGACGAGTTGCTTCAAATTCAAGAAAACTAGTTTTTTAATCGTTGGTTAAGGGGCATAAGAGGCACGGTCACTTGAGGTGACGAGTTCGGTCGAAAATTTGAAATTTTAGCCATTTATAACCGTTGAGGGTAAGACTATAAATATGAGTTTGGGGTTTTGGTTTTTATCAAACCCTAAATTGAAAAAATCATACATTATGTGAAAATCTCGAAAAATGGCAAACCAAGAATATATGTTGCGCCTAGATAATGTCCATGTTTTGTCAATCCAACGTCGGTCGGACGATGAATGGAATATCCGTAAGCGAATGATGACATACAGAGAGTTGTATCCGGGGATGTTAATTTATCTACAAAAATTCGATCTATTTTCGGCCATATTTGTATGTGACGTCAAGCTTTACCTGACGTTGATTGAGGCTCTGATCGAAAGTTGACGATTCCCGAGTGGTGAATCTATGATTACTTTAGAAGACGTCGCTTACCAGCTCGGTGTTCCTGTGAATGGAGCCCCCGTGATGAGCCAAAATATTTATGACCCCACGACGTTAGTCTACGAAGTTTTGGGAAAATGGCCACCATCGGACGTCATCGAGGGCTATCAGGTACACATAACATGGTTAGAATCCGAATTCCAAGTGACGACTGAGTCTACCTAGGCAGAGGTTATTTTCGCGTTTCAAGCATTTCATCTCCAAGTGATCGAATGGGTATCATTACCGGATAAATTGGTAATTTGGTGCACACTCAGTATCTACAATATTTACAAGACTTCAATTTATGTCGTAATACCAGTTGGGGCTCGACGATTCTAGCCTTTCTATACCGGGAGCTTTGCAAGGCTACAATTATCCATTCGGGTCAAAAAATCGATATAGCAGGTTGTCTGATACTGCTACAAGCATGGGCTTGGTATCGATTCTCGTTTTTTACGCCAATTACATAGCCCTGGTTGAGTTTCCGCTAGTTGCATGGTACTTGTTTAACTTTTTTTATTTAACTTTTTTTAATTTTATAAATTTAATTATTTTTTATTTGTTTATAACATTTTTTATTATTAAATATTTTAGATGGCGTCATAAAATATCTGAGACAAAGTTGGCGAGTACCACTGCACTAGATATAAGGATGGGGATAGACATCGCCGATCGATATGCGGTATGACATACAGTTTTTTTTTTGTTTTTTTTAATCTTTTTAACTTTATATATACTAACTTTGATATTTAATATTTACAGTTCTCTTGGCTTCTGTATGTTGACGAGGAGATTAACCAGTTATTGACAGATTGATTTTTTTAGGGATCCCACTTATGGTGTGTCGTAACGCCTGTCGTAACCGGTTTTCGCCCGGCACGAAAAAATGGTAATAAATAAATGGTTTTTATTGAAATATTTTTAGAGTCGCCATCGACTTTTTGGGTTAGGTAAGTCGAATACCTAAAAATCATCTTTTAAAAGAGTTTAAAAAAAACACTATTTAAAAGATAAACTGGTATGTGTATAACCAAAATTCATTATTTTAATAAATAAAAGGGATTCGTGGTCGATTACGTTTTGGGAAGGATTAACACCCCTATAACGCCCAAAATTAGTACCCGTTGATTATATATTGTCTCTATTAGTGGAAATCTAAAAATTCAAATATAAATTTATTTTATGATTCTTTTATTCTATATTCAATCGCATAATTATATTTAAAGAAAATTCTAAAGAAAATAGAAAATATTTCAATATTTCCATATCGAAGAGAAACTATTCCCTAAAATATTTTAGGACAAATATTTCTCTTTCCAATCGAAATAATAAAAATCTGATAATTCTTCCCAAGAAATAACATTAAAATAATTTGATATAACTAAAAATAAAATAAATATATTTTTAGGTTTTTTATTAGTAATATATTTAATATTTTAAAATATGTTAATGAATAAAATAATATAAAAAACGTTATTATTAATTAAAAAAATGAGATTATGATTTAAATATATTAAATTTTATGAACAAAAAATAGTGCTATTATAAAAAAAAATTGAAAGTGGAGACATGAGATTTTAAATATAATATTTTTTATTAACAAAAGTTAGTGCTATTAATAAAAACTTGAAAGTGGAGACATGAGATTTTAAATATATTTTTTATTAACAAAAGTTAGTGCTTTTATAAAAAAATAAAAATTAAATTAAAATAATATAATATAATATAATTAATTAAAAACGTGGATTAATATTAAAATATAGTAAATTTTATAAATAAAAGTTATTGCTCTAGAAATAATATCATTTTATTTTATTTTAAACATTAGTATAGATTATTAGGATACATATATGACTAAAATAAAAAGTAATAAATATTATAATTTGAAATAAACAATAAATATTAACCAAAATAATAATATATGATTAAATAAATAAATTATTATTTAAAATTCGAAATATTATAATATATATATATATATATATTAATAATGTGATTTAACCATAATTAATTAATTGGGATAATGAATTTTATTATATATATATACATTTGAAATAAAAAATATTTAAAGGATTATATATAATAAAGTAAAACATAGAGATTAAAATAAAAAAATGAAAATATAGCAGCTAATTTTGAAATAATAATAAAAACAGAGAAATTAGTGACTAAACTGTAAATAGACTCATAAATTAGAGGAATTATTTCGTGATTTTCCTTATTTTAAGTAAATAAAATGATGGACTTCAAAGCTTAGGGACTTGACACATGGTTTACCCAAAAAATTTATAAACATAAAATTCATCTTCTTCCTCCTTATTTCACACGCAAAACACCCCAAAACTTTCAACTATCATATTTTCTGTTTTATTTATTCATCTATTTAACTTTTTTTAAAAATAAATAAAAATAGAATATAAAGCTGAAAAAAATAAAACCAAATGTAGAAATAACCTTTGTAGAGCTTTTATTTCCGACTTTCTTTATGTATTTTGCTAGATTTCTCCTCTATTTCTCTTGATGTTTTTCAGTGTAGTTTACATATTGTTCTGGGGTTTTTATAGCCCCAGTTTACATGAAGAATCAAAGATGATTTTTCCTTTCTCCTTGCATGTGTGGTTGTTGTTGGTACATGTGGAGGGGCTGCTCTTGCTTGCTGAAACGTGGAGGGGCTGCTGCAGTGGGTAGAAGATACTGGAATGTGAAGCTGGAATTTGCAATGTGGAGGGGCGCTGCTACATATGTTAATTGGAGTAGGGAACCAACTAGATCAAGGTAAAAATGATGATTATAGATGCCCCTCTTTGCTCTTTGCTGTGGAACAGGAATGGAGCAAAGATATAAAGCACCATTTTTAGTTTGAATTGTTCAAACTTTTGAGCTATAAGTTCTTCTTATTATGAACTTTTCTCTCACTTCGGACGAGTTCTTCTTCAGATTAGTTCTTCTCATTATGAACTTCTTCTGGAAATGTTGATTCTTAAGTGAGGTTCTTCCTTTATTCGTTTCTGTAGATGTTGAATCAATCTAAGGTTGAACGAGTTCTTCTTCAGATTAACTTCTTCTTCCTTTTCAGATGAGTTCTTCTCATTATGAACTTCTTCTGGAAATGTTGATGTTGATCTATCTCCTTCTGTGATAGAATCAAGCGAAAGGTTGAACAAGTTCTTCTCATTATGAACTTCTTCTTCCTCTTCAGATGAGTTCTTCTCATTACGAACTTCTTCTGGAAATGTTGATGTTAATCTATCTCCTTCTGTTATAGAATCAAGCGAAAGGTTGAATAAGTTCTTCTCATTATGAACTTCTTCTTCCTCTTCAGATGAGTTCTTCTCATTACGAACTTCTTCTGGAAATGTTGATGTTGATCTGGCTCCTTATATGATAGAATCAAGCGAAAGGTTGAACAAGTTTTTCTTCATGTTAACTTTTTCTTCCTTTTCAGATGAGTTCTTCTCATTACGAACTTCTTCTGGAAATGTTGATGTTGATCTATCTCCTTCTGTGATAGAATCAAGCGAAAGGTTGAACAAGTTCTTCTCATTATGAACTTCTTCTTCCTCTTCAGATAAGTTCTTCTTATTACGAACTTCTTCTGGAAATGTTGATCCATCGAGTGATGAATTCAAAATTTTGCGGATCTTTGGGATTCCTGTCAAATAATCCATATTGATAAAATGAATGGAAATGCCCCTATTTTTGCAATTGCCTAAATATGATGCATGATATGTGAGATTCTTTATTCTCATTAATTGATGTTTCATTCTCTTTGCTGAGTCTTTATCCTTGCTAGGATTTCTTTTTTGCTCTTGCTTTGGATTTGGCTTGCTCTTTTTCATAGACTCTTCACTTAAATCTATTTTCTCTAAGCACTCTGTCTATTTCTCTTTGCTGAGAATTTCTTCTTTACTTGCTTTCAAATGACACTATAGTGGCAAAACTTATTCGTCTTTTAACAACGATTGATATTGTTGACATTAAGATTTACTTTGGATTCCATGTATTCAAAAGTATTAACATAAAGTGATAGACAGAAATCTTTTTCTTATTTTAAAATTATGTTAATCCATTTATAAAATATTTATAAAAGAATAAATTGAATTTTAAAAAGAATAAAATGGAATTTGAGAATTTATTAATAAAATATATATGGATTTTTTTCAAAGTTATGGCAACACAGAAATGATAGAAATATAGAAATAA